GCATATCTGTGGACAAGACTTATAAAATATTATGATATTATTTATTTGCCACTTTGAAAAATTAATCAACAATAAAACTATGTTTAAATAATTATAATAATAATAGGTAAAATAAATAAATTGATCAAACTTGAATACTTTCTTAAAAATACTAATGAATACACAAATGTTTCCTGCAGTTCAATGAAAATACTTTGTAAGAAATCATTAGAAGCAGAGCATCATAAAAGGAATGGATATCAATTTGCAGAACTTTAAAATTTTTTGTATAACTTACAAATTAGATAAAGTAATTAGTAATGGAATTTTGAAGTATAAATGCAATTTCTCTGTATTATTGTAATTTAAACTTGATTTTCAACCAGTAACTATGTTCACAATAGTCATAGTAGACATTTCAAACTATGTATAAGGCCATTGATTAAGTATAATAGTATACTAATAAATTGTGTCGTAACTTGTTGGCACATGATCAAGCATTAAGTATACATAATACATATAGTAATAATATAAGCAGGGACTGTGCGTTGAAATAAGTATTGATATTAATGTGCCCGATGCCACTGTAATTTTGTCCACTAAAATACACTTTATGGAAATGATGTCCTGTAGAATTAACCAATTATATGTTAATGTAGAATTAACCAAATTTGATAATTTTTTTTGATTAATAGAGAGTAAGTTTCTGCAGGCCACATTGAACTCTGTTTTTCATTATTTTTATCTCAAAATAATAATAATATGTTTACAAAAAAATTACAATTTTATGCTTTCTTTTTACAAATTATGCTATACCATTTTTAAAATAAATTCCATGCAGTATGTAGGAAGTCTTCTTCTTTCAGATAAGATAATAGTTTTCAAACTCCCACAATCCTACGAGGCCTGAGAATTTTTCCTGTGAAGTAGTTTTTTTCGATAGAATATACCGTATCAAACCCCTCTAATTAGGTATCGGGCAGTATATTAGTGAAAAAGTATTATAATTTAATTGGAAACAAAAATATAATTTTCAAATTTTTTAGAACTGTGGAAAATTTGAAGAACCTTGTTTCATTAAGAACCCTTGGAGTGGGATAAAGGTTTCCAAACTTGACAACCACATTGACTACAACCGTCCGACCTTTCGAAAACTCAGGGAAGTAATCAATCTTTCAGTCCAAAACAATAGTGAACTATAGAATACGGATTGTTGTAATATAGTTGGCAAAAAAGAACCAACAACAGCCACTGAAAGTGACAACTTAATAAAAAAATAAATGAAATGAAGATGTTCATCAGGAAAATGTTATGTAATGAACCACTATAAAACACAATATCTATCAATTTTATTAGTAAGAATTTATTTCATCAAAAACATATTTGTGGACAACAATAGAATATACAAATATATGATTAATTTGTTGAATTAATTTGTTTATATTGAATCCAATCAGTAGACAACGATTTCTCAACAAGAGTTTCGAAATATGGCCATAGAAAAATCTGCAGAAGTCTAAATCTTTTATTCAAATCAGATGAATAATATATATGCATAAATATGACTATTTGTGAATAATAGCAAAGTATATTAAAATATTTGCATAGATTAAATGACAAACTAGAAATCTATACCTAACCTATCCGAATATATATGCATATATATATTATATATATTTATTTTAAATATAGCAATTATAACACTAGCTATGTAATTCTTGTAAATATATTTATGGTAACCTTACAACTTTAAACTAAAAGATAACTTTTCTAGCTCTTCTTCAAGTTTAAACTCAAATTTTGAATGTACACCTTGACTATCAGTATATTCATAATTTTTATATTTATCAATTATAATATTTTTATCATTTTTTTAATATTTTATTTACACTTTAATAGGTAATTGTATAACGTACAAAATTATTTATTTTTTGACTTGTGAGGTTTTCCTACTATAGTTAAACTGTCAAATGTTTTCTTTGTATCATTAACTTCAAAATGTTTATGGCATTAATACTTGACTTTATTATTGTCTCAGTTCCAAGCGTTAACAAAACTTAACCATTTTACTTTGCATATTACGTTTAATAACTTCATTTCCATCCTCAAAATTTAGATGATTTTTACAAAATCGTCATCTGTAAAGTTTTTCTGATGTTTTTTTATTAATTTGGCATTGATCGATTCGGTAGACAATTGTTAATCTCGTTTGAATGAAAACATAAAAATGCACCCGAAACTCCTGCTTCAGGATAATATACGCTGTCATCGTCTGTCGAGGTTTATAGTAGCAGATTTACCTAAACTTAGTAGGTACTTATTAGACAGTGAGTACTTACAAATTCAAACTAGAAGAGACGATAGGATAAGTTGCTTAAAATTATACCTGTACTGATGAAATATATATATTTATGTAATCATTAATTTTGTGAAAAGTGATGGATTTTTGATTTTGGAAACGTTCACTACCCGACGGAATCGATGTAACTTTTTCTCCAAAACACTTGGGATCGAATAAAGCCAGCTATATAATTAGTATAGGACACGTGTACCTGTTTAAGTATTATATAAGTATGTATGTATTGTGTGTATTGTAGCAGTAAGCTTAAACTCATGTTTAAGTTAAAAATATTTTATCTACATTAAAATCAGGAAAAGAAAATATTTAAAATTCGGAAAAATCATGTACAATTCTGTCTTAAATGGCTCGCACGTGACCGGTTTTTTTTCTAATAAATATGCCTTACAGGAAAACATCTCGCACTTCGTACGGTGATTCGATTTCGATGACTTTTTTTGGAAAGTGAACATTCTTTACAGGGTGCCATGGATTTTCAAGTTAAATTTTTGAACCATATAATACGATTTTATATTCGACCAATTTTCGCCTGCTTTGGTTATTTTTATTGGGTATGTCTGTTATAAGCAATGAAATTAAAAATAAGTCCTGAATGTGCCCCGTAGAATATTATCCTCATTTCTAACCAAAAAAACCAATTCAATTAGACCACTTTACGATGCCTGAGAGTTTTTCCTGTTAAGCACGTTTTGAGCAAAAAATTACGATTTTCATTTTTGGTCGGCAGTGCCGTTGATATGTGCAGGCATACAATCACACTCACACTAATCATCATCGACGAGTGACGACTAACATAAATGCCACGGGCGGCAGCAATATTTCGACGGCATATTGCCTAAATATTGCCCCTGATTAAAGTCCCTCTTAAGGCGATTGGGCACCAGCCAATTTTTCTGTTAAAAACTACCTATTTAACTTCAATCGGTCCAATCATTGTATTGAAGCGATATGAGTTCTGAAAATGTACATGAATTCGGTATGAAGTCTTCTTGAGATCGGTCGGATTACATATATCAATTTTGCCCCTTAAAATTCCACAAATTTGACCTAAGTTTTTTGAAAAATATTAAACATTGTAGTAGTGTTTAAAATATAATATTAATTAAAACTGAAAAAGTGGCCCGACCGATCTCAAGTAGACTTCACGCTGAATTCAAATTAATTTTTAGAATTGCTATCGCATCAATACAATGATCGTTCGAAGGCATTGGCCAAGGTGTCTGTATGGACCTTGTCCACTGTCTCTAGGATAAGATTGCCTGATTTGGCTCTCCTTGACGTTATCTCGAAGGTGAGAGCTTCTTGGGGGACGGTGTCCTTCGCCTCCTTGACTATATCCGCATATGACACCTCTGATGCCTTCTCCAGGACCACTGCCTGCGTCTTGGGTGGTCGCCTGTGTTTTTTGCCGTCAGACTCCGGTGGTTTCATAGTGGCGGTGTCCGCATTGGGGGTTGAAGCTGTAGTTGTTCTTTTTTCTTCTTGTGTCTCCTCTTGACAAATGTGAATTCGGGAGGGTTGGGCTCTATCTCCTCCGTAGCTGGGCCAGCTGTTCGCGTTGCTCCCTGGTCCTTAGGCTTTGATGTGTCTACGGGCAGCCACTGTTACGGAGTTTGGGTTCCCCACCAGCACGGTGTGTCCGTCGTTGCGTCCTTGGTGCCACGGCTTGAACCGCAGGATGTCTCTGTGGGTTTGTCACCTCGTGTCACACTGTTGGACGTTTGTGACTGTACGTCGTGACCCTTGTTCTTGGCTGTTTGCATTGAGACGCTTTTCGGTCTCCTCTGGCTGCTGGTCCTCCGTGACTGGTCGGCCCTAGGAATCTTCTTAGACATGACGTAGAAGGCTTTGTACACTTCCTCAATGCTCCCTTTAAATGCACTAATTACATCCAACACCTCCTCTAGGATTCTATTGACTCAAGAGCATTCTCGTTTGCCACAATCCGGAGTTAAAGTCGACCAATGAAATAAAGATCCGCGAAGGGCTGAAGGAGTCAGGGCGGCCATAATTAGGGTTTTGGTCTCCCCGGGGCTTCAGCTAGCCCACCTCAAAAAACTCAAGGTAGGTTGGTCGATGTTGATCAAGGATTTGGAGCCTAGGCAAGGCTATGCAAGATGCTCTGCCTCTGTCCACGTGAGCAAAGATTGCGAGGGTGAAGAAACTAGGAGTTTTCGATGCAAGGTGGTTGGTCACCTCATAGCTTCGCGCAAACTCTTGCACCAGGATGTCCAGTCCGAAGAGTCGGACTGAAGCAGACGGGCTGAAGTGCCGGCCAAGTCGTCACCCTCGCCGTCATGGGCTGTTAACTCGTATTCAGAAATTGTTGACGTCTAGGTAGACAAAAGTAGTGCCAACGTACAAGCATTGAGAGTATGCAAGTTGGTAGTACTAATAGCCTAGTCCGTGTTTTAAGGTTATGTGAAACATTTAATTTACAATTTTTCATTTTCGCCGACTAATCGCCGTCGCCGTGTCTTCGTTAATCGTTTACTCATAGAAAACTAATAAAACGTTTACTCGTTTACTACGTTTACTTCGTTTACTCGTTTTTACTGCGTTTACTCGTTACATGTTTGGCGTTGCACATGGTAATATGGTATATTTTCTACGATTTGCACGTTTTTTAAATAAGTTTAATACTGTTTAATAATAAGTTTTTAATAATACTGTACGTAATGCCTTCACCAATATGTGTTGTAATGAGTTGCAAAAGTCGGAATGGAATTTCGAAACACCGTTTCCCCAAAAATGATTTACCACGATTTGAAGTGTGGGTTCAGAGGTGTGGTAATCCAAAATTACTGACCATGACACCTGATCAAATTTATAAAAGTTATTTGGTTTGTGATCTTCATTTTGATACAGATTGTCATAGTGAGGGGACAAAATTACTGAAACGAAATGCAATTCCAACATTATGTCTACCAGTTTGTGAGTTAATAAATTATTGTGTGAACCATATTTATGTTAAATGTTTGTGTTAAATGTTTGTGTTAAATTATTATAAATAAATATTTTATGTAACTTTTAATAAATGATATCAATGTAGATATTCGATCATAAACATGTTAAATTAGTGTAAGTAGATACATAATTTAAATGTTGACTACCCATCCAACAATAAGTGTAATTAAGTACCTAATTGTCAAACTACATGTGTTCCGGTCAAAGTGTTCTGGTAAATTAAATTTATTATAATATATTGCTTTATTGAATCTGCCATTTAAGTATTTGCTTCGCCAACTGCATGATTGCATGATAATATTTATTATTTATTGTATATAATAGGTACCCATTATTATAATCAGGGTTAGTAAATTGTGGTTATTGATTTTTATCTTATTATATAAATAATTGTATACCTATATTAAAATGTAATATTTTTTCTAAATTTCTATAGTAAGTAACATATTAAACCTGGTAATTGGTGGATCACATATTGGGTTGATAGTTGATTCCAAATACTGTATTTAATACTTTTTACATTCAATCAGATTATATATTTATATTAAACTATGTATATGCTTTTTTTTATATACTGACAACATGTCTTGACAAATTACAATATTTTATATTTTAATTGGTTTACAGGTTCGGCGATACACAGCCAAGTTGATTTGCCACAGTCTATTCTTCCAATTAAANAAGATCTTGGAAGAAATGTTCGTAGGACAAAGTTTGCTGATAAAGCATTAACATTTATTGTACGGGGTGTAAAACGCAAATTTAAACAGCCTATAGCATATTATTTTGCAGCAAGCGGAATCAAAACACCTGATCTCGTTGTAGCACTCAAAGAAGTGATAAGTGCTGTTCAATCAACCGGTTTAAATATTGTTGGTACCATCTGTGACCAGGCTCCTACCAATGTTGCAGCCATCAATATTTTAATGCGAGAAACTGTACAAAATTATGTGAAAAAGGGTATTGAAAAGCAGTCTTTTGGGTTTGAAATAAATGGACAAGAAATAGTACCATTATATGATGCACCACATTTACTAAAGGGTATTCGCAATAATTTAGTTACAAAAGACTTGGCATTTACGATGAATGGTACAAAAAGAATAGCCAAATGGAAGCATATTATCAATTTCTATGAAATTGATAAATACCGTCTTGATGTGGGTGAAAGAATGGTACCAAAACTGACGGATTCTCATATTTACCCCGAAAAAATGAGGAAAATGAAGGTTTCGGTTGCAGCCCAGGTGTTCAGTCAGAGAGTTGGAAGTATAATGCTTTTACTCTCTGAATGGTCAGGTGAGTTACTATAAAATCAGATAGTAATTTAATAATTGTTGTATTGTGATATTTTTCAATCATAATATTTTATGTTAAATAATAACTGTTATAGGTGGTAACGATAAACTGGAGAAGGGAGCGTCAGATACTGCAAAACTCTGTCTATTTATGGACAAACTATTCGACAGCGTTAATAATAGTTCCACAGTTATTCAGCCTGGGAAGGAATTACGTAGTGCTGTGACATCCACATCGATACATTGGCAATTCTGGAAGGACGCTCTATTGATATTGGAAAGTATGAATTTTGGAACCAGTAACGTCCCAACCATAAAAAATTGGATATCCACCATAAAAGGTTTTCAATATTTATGTAAAAAACTATTAAACAGTGGTTTCAAATTTGTATCATTGCGCTTGTTCAATCAAGATCCAGTTGAAAATTTTTTCTGTCAGGTCCGCAGTCATGGCTTACGAAATACAAACCCAACTTGTTTCCATTTTCAAAATTCATTTAAATCTCTTTTAATTAATAATTTGATTTCTCCTCAATCTGTAGGTGCAAACTGTCAAAAAGATAATTGTGAAAATTTAACAACGCTTAAGCAATTACTAACTTTAAATAAATCATCTTCTAATATAATCCAAATCAATCCACAAATAAACCTTTCTTCTATTACTCAAAATGTTGTAATTCCTCAAAAATCTAAGCTAGCTCTCTCATGTCAAACTTATGTTGCTGGTGCAATTGTAAATAAATTAAAAAAGTTAACATCTAATTGCAAATTTTGTTTAGAAACTTTAAAGTCAACAAATGTCAAAAATGATCAAATTTTAAAAGCTACACAATACAATAACTGTTCTTTACAAACTCCTTCGATTATTTCAACCAACATATATGCACACATTTTAAGTGAATTTAACTCTACTATTAATCTTATATTTAAAGAACCAAACATAAAATTATATTTTTTAAATAACATTAATCCTAAACTTAAAATGACAAATATATGTATACATCATGATACTAAACATTTATTTATAAGTGCTGCATTCAATTTATTGATGTTTGCTTTTACAGCAAATGTAAATAGGGTACTAAAAGGTGAAAAATTAAAAATGCTTTGCTCTGAAGAGGGTACAATTCTTTGTCTAGCAGAAAACTATTATAAACATTTCAAAATGAAAAAACATAAAATTTTAAAAAACTGTAATAAACTGTAATATTGTTATTGCATATTATTTTAGGTATTATCCTATGCTTTTTTATATAATAAAAGGTATTATCCTATGTTTTTTTTATATTATGCTAGGTATCATCTTATGTTTTATATAAAATGTATATTTAAATTTATATGAATATAAATATTATAACTATTATTATAACTTGTTTAAGAGGACGTGATACCCGCATGTGTTGTCTCCGTCTTACAAGTGCATAACATGGCAAATTCTACGCAAAGCAGAACACGTATAGCTTCGTTAGTTTAAAAATTAGAGTGAATTTACCTCTTATAAAATCTAAAGGTAAGATTATAATCTAGACAACCTCATAGGCTTTTTATTATATTTTAATTTTAAAGCAAGCTATGAGTATTTTAAAATTTTTAATTGTTTATACATCTTAAAGTACTCATAACTCGCTTATAAATTAAAATATAATATAAAGCATATGAGGTTGTCTAGATAATTATCTTACCTTTAGATTTTATAAGAGGTAAATTCACTCTAATTTTTAAACTAACGAAGCTATACGTGTTCTGCTTTGCGTAGAATTTGCCATGTTACGCACTTGTAAGACGGAGACAACACATGCGGGTATCACGTCCTCTTAATGTTAGGTATTAAGTATCCTTTGTTTTTTTTATATTATGCTAGGTATTACCTTATGTTTTATATAAAATGTGTATTTATATGAGTACAGTGGTCGCCGCTTATTGGACTCACGGTTAATTGACTCATTCGCATATTAGACTCAAAACGGTTGGTCCCGATTCGCACGGTTAGGTTAGGTTAGGTTTTTGAGTCATTCGCCTTATTGACTCATTCGGTTAATTGACTCAAATTGTCGGGTCCCAAAGTGAGTCCAATAAGCGGCGACTACTGTATAAATATTATAACTATTATTATAACTTGTTTAATGTTAGGTATTAAGTATCCTGTTTTTTTTATATTATGCTAGGGATTATCTTATGTTTTATATAAAATTTATATTTATTTTATAACTATTATTAAACTATATTAACATTTTGTTGAATAAATCATTTAAAAATTTTTTTGTCAAATGGTGTTCTATTTTATCAATTTTGTTACTATAAGTTTTCTTATGTAATACATTTTATATGTATTAATATACATAGTAAGTACATATACTTAATGTCCTATGTAGATAACTATAGAAGGAGTTAAGAATATTAGTAGCAACAATAATATTGAATCAGGTATAATATGAAAATTTGAAAAAGGCGCCATCTACTGTTAGTTGTGGTAGACATCCACCAGGAGCGCTATTGCGTCAACAAAGTATTTGCCGAGAGTGCCCTTTCTATTTTATTAGTTTTCTATGCTCGCCGTCATGCTCCTAACGGCAGACCCTCCTCCAGTGATTAGAGTTCTGCAGATAAACCTAAATCACTGCTGGATGGTTCAGTAGCTCCTCTTGCAAACTGCCGCTGAGCTCGGGACGGACGTAGTCATCGTCAGCGATTACAATCGCCCTATAGGGCAATCGGAGCAATGAATTATTAGTACGCATGGCAAGTGTGCGGTCTTTGTCCCGAACACATCGACAGCCATTGTCTCCGTCAAGGTTTTCCTTGGGCCAGGGTTGGTAGTACATTGCTATACAGTTGTAACTGCACTCCCAACTGCAATATCCAGGCGTTCGACCAATTTCTCGGTGATCTCGAAGCGTCGATCCGATACTAAGTCACTGAGGGGATTTACTCCATAGTGGGAGAAGATTTCAAAGCTCACTCTGCGGAATGGGGCTCATCTTCGGATGACATAAGAAGATCCCTCCTGTCAGCCTTCGCATCGGTGCTCGATCTCACGGTCTGCAACACGGGTACCCTACCGACCTTTAGAAGGATGAACGCATCATCGGTAATAGACATAACATTCGCACGAGCTGCGAATAACCGACCCCTGGTGTCCGATTGGTCAGTCCTCAAAAATCGATACACTGCCAGTGACCACGAGTACATCGCGTACTCGGTGTCAAAATTCGTGCCATGTCGATCGTCAGCGAGGGCAGTCCGTCCGGGAGGATGGTCTGTAAAGAATCTGTCCTCAGAGGCCATCAAGGACCATTGGGATCGTGCGGTCCCACTTTCCCCTCTCTCGGGGGATGCATCGGTGGAAGGCCATGCAGAACGGCTCCAGAAATTCTTGAGCCAGGTCTGTGACGCAGCAATGCCAAAAAGATCGTTGTCCAGTGGCAGGAGGGCAGTCCACTGGTGGAACGAAGTCTATCGCAGCCCGCAGGAGCTACTAGAGTGCGGGTTGTAGGGGTGACACCAGTGACCGCGAGGTGACGTTTTTAGCGCACAACCTGGCAATTAAAATGCTCAGAGTCGTTATACAGAAGGCGCAGGAGAGGTCTTAGCGAGAGTTGTGTGACTCCGACGATAGCGCCTCATCACTCTCTCTCTCAACCATACACTCTGGCCTAAAGCGGGAATATCGAGATTTAATGAATAATACGCGGTGGCCCAGTGTTACGCTCCCGGCAGTCCGGCGCGTGGGTCGCAGGTTCTCAAATCCCGTACCGTGCGATTTTTTTCATTAATTTCTGGACATCTCTCCCAAGACCAGCCAGCCACATTACCTGTGGTCGCGTCAATTTCCCCGCCTGTCACGCGGGAGACCGGGGTTCGATTCCGCGCCGGGGAGCCAATTGACACAACCACAGGTGATGTGGCTGGCTGGTCTTGAGAAAGATATTCAGAAATTAATGAAAAAAATCGCATGGTACGTAGGATTTGAACCCGCGACCCACGCGCCGGACTGCCGGACGCGCAACACTGGGCCACCGCGAATTAATCATTAAATTTCGATATTCCCCCTTAAGGCTAGAGTGGCAGTGTGTACGGTTGAGAGAGAGTGATGAGGCGCTGGGTATTGTACAGACTGGTCTGTAACGGCTAGATCAGCGGTCTCCTGCCATGGATATACTTACAAACGAATCAAAACCTATGCAAACTGAAGATATAACTACAATTAACACAAAAAAAAAATATTGAAAAACAACCACGTTCCTTTACTAAAAATAAAAAAAATAAACTTGAATTTCGTCAATTGTCGTCAAGTGAAGGTAATATAATAAGAAAATCCTTACTAAATAATACAAGTGTTTTAAATGTTCATTCATATGATGATCATTCTTATAGCGCTAAAAGAAAATGAATTTCTTAATATATTGCTGAATTGTATCTCTTTTAAATGACGATCGTAAGTGAATAATGAATATTGTGTTTTTTTTCGAATTGTGTATTATTAAATGTATTAACTATTAATGCATTTAACTATTTTAATTATAATTTATAATGTAAAAATTTTATGTTAGTTGGATAGTTATGACTTATGTTATTATAATAACATTATTTTTATAACAATATTTGTGTACTGTAATAATAATAATATCATTACACAATTGCTATCTGGGTATTAGTTCGAATATTGAAAATATTTATCAAAATTAAAATTTTATTATATAATTTACTTTTTATAGATAAAGATTGAAAATTTAAAATAATGTTCCAAGTAAATAGGTTGTACATTTATACTGTATTCTCAATAAATTGTGTATTTTTCAATTTTAAATTACGATATTGTATTTTTTAATAACTTATTATCTATTAATGTATTTAACTATTTTAATTATAATTTATATAATAAAATATAATATTATAATTTATAATGAAAATGATGTTATCGGTTTATCAATTTTATCACATTTTGATAACTGCAAAGAAGGGGCTAAATGTAGGCAATATTATATACCGACACAAAAAATTTTTTTCTGCGAAGATCCATTCGTCTTATATCCAAACCTTGTATCAACATAAGGTATCTCAGCAAAATAAAATAACCTGTGTTGCCAATTTAGCCATTTTATGGCTAGGACTATCCTTTTCTGATACCCATTCAGCCATTGAAATTTCTTAAATGCTTATAGCCATAAATCTAACATATTTCATATTCTAGGTTAGCCATTATTTGGCCATTTTTCATTAGTGGCCATTTCGAAATTCCACTGTATATTTTCAGTTTTCCATACTATATAATCTAAGGTAAATATTGATTGTAATGAAAATATACCTGATATCAACAATAAAAATTGATAAGTGCCAATCACAATTATAGATAAATCATGATATTCATTATCTTAAATCGTGATTATAATTTATAATAAAATTTAGCTGATTATCATATGATAATATACCAACATTTTAAATTTCCCGCATTAATTTAAATAATATTAAAATTATTATTTATTGTAATTTGTAAATAATCATACGCCCCAAATGATTGACTGTACGGTATGAAAATATTTGTTTTTTATTGTACTACAAATTAAATTATAAATCAATATACAACTATCCTTAATTTGGAATTGGAATTGCCAGTTATATTGATATAACATATTTTATATTTCATAGGTACATTTTATTTATCTACGGAAGGTTCTTTTTGTTAACAGTGTGTTATTCATAGTAGAAAAAGTTTGTTAATTGCTGCTCATTGTTCAATTTTGTCATGCGACTATCTGGAAGAGTTATGCAAAAAATATTTTAAAGAATCTGAAGCAGCATCTTACATGAAATTGCATAGATCCAAATGTACTGCAATCATTTCAAATGTTCTTGGGCCTCATTTCGCACAATATCTGAAGGAAAGCATTGGTGATAGTTTTTACAACATAATTATTGATGAATCGACAGATATAAGTGTTTTAAAGTTTTTAGGTATTACTATTATGTACTTTGATAAGAACTTTAAGAAAATCATTTCAGTTAAGATAGAATCGTGTGGTGCTCAAGAAATAGTGACAGAGGTAAAGGTAACTTTAATTAGTAAAGTGTTGGATCTTCAAAAGTTATGTGGAATAGGAACTGATAATGCGTCCGTAAAGGTGGGTGTAAACAATGCTTTAATCCATATACGTTGTGTGTGCCACTCATTGCAGTTAGCTGTGTCTGCTGCTGCATCAGAAACCCTTCCGAGAAATATTGACTATTTGGTAAGAGAAACGTATAATTGGTTTTGTCACTCAACTTTGCGTCAAGCACAGTATTCAAATTTATATAGGGCCATAAACGATGGTCATGATCCACTAAAAATAGTTAGGTGTTGTGAAACAAGATGGCTGTCTATAGAGTCTGCTGTTAGTCACATCTAAATCAATGGTTAGAGCTTAAAACCTTATTTAGTGTAGCTAGGACCAAAGAAAAGTGCTATGCTGCTGATGTACTCTTTGAAATGTATAACGGCAACATGAATTTGGCGTATTTAAAGTTTTTATATCCGATATTGGAAGAAGTGCAATTAGTGAATAAATAAAATAATATCCTTTGAATCGAATACAGCTGACCCAAGTAAGTTGCTCAAAGATTTAACAAATCTCATTTATTCTGTTTCTAAGAGGTTTGTAAATCCAAATTGTCGGGAAGATCCCTTAACTTGTAATATGAATAGTTATACAGTGCAAAATGTTTACTTTGGGTATGAATTTGAGCAAATCTTAGCATCTTGTCCATCTTCTAAAGAAAAAAAAGACCATTTGAAAGAGAGATGTCTGCGATTTTTTCAAGTTCTTCTCCAACAGTTACAACAGCGTCTTCCTAAAAATGTTAATATCTTACAAACCGTTTCACTGATATCAGTTAAAAACACACTGCAGGTTATAAAGGATCCACTTACTCCTTTGGCGCAATTTTTGAACGTTGAAAACAAAATTATTGATAAAATAAATATACAGTGGTCTAATATACTAAATGTCAAGTGGACTGAAACATCAAATACCATAAAGTTTTGGAATGAAGTAGCTTGTTACACAGATGCTAGCGGATCTTACCCATTTGCAGAAGTTTCAGATCTGGCAATGAGAATACTAAATCACTAAATACTAATCACTGTAAGCCTATAAAAGCATATCATCAAAAATTAGCTATTGAAAAACCTAAAATAGCAGATTTACTATCATTATGCTCAATGGGGCTTGTTCCCTCAACCTACCACGACTTCTACAAATCACTGCAATCAAAATAACACAATATTTCTTTTATTATTATAATTATATTTGGAGTATATTAATTTTGTTAATTTTGTTTATTCATCTGTTATAAAGGTCATAACAGGTTATTATTTTTTTTTATTATATTTTGAGTATGATGTTTATTTTATTGTTTTTTTTATTAATCTGTTATTAAAGAAGCAAAAACAGATTTTTGTTTTAATCATTATAATATATTAACCATGTTTAACTAAAAGTTGTTAATCTTTTTTTTTTATTTAAGATGTTATTTTTTAAATTAATATTATGAAAAATATGTTTGCTTCATTAAAAGTCAAGTGTTAAATTTATTGAAAAATAAAATATGACTGTATTAATGTTCTAGTATTTTATTTATTTTGAGTCCTACGCTGAACAATAAATTATTGTTTATGACGTCAAATAATAATAATATTATAATACCAAATTATAATTATTTAGTTATGGCAGCCACCGAGGAAAAAGGTAGTAAGTATAGATACTACTTTTTTTCTATAGATTTCTGCCAACGAAAAAGGTAGTAAGTATAGATACTACTTTTTTTCTATAGATTTCCGCCAACGAAAAAGGTCGTAAGTAGAGATACGACTATTTTTTATAGGTAGTATCTCATAAAAAACCTTGAAGTTATGATTTTTTTTAATAACTAAGTTTTTAAAATAATTATAGTCTTTTTAAATCTATCAGTGACAACATTTTTGGAAATTTATGTTAAAAAATAGAATTAGAATCTAAATTTGAATGTTTATTTTCTTCATACTGAAAAGTTGAAAAAAACGAGTTACGACCTTTTTCGCTGGGGCAGTCGTCTTGTACTTCCATGGTCTAATGCCGAAGTAGAGCAATTGTTCAGTCAAATGAATGTGGTAAAAAGCAAATTAAGAAACAAAATGGGGCCAAAACTTTTGGATGCAATTTGAAGTACAAGAGCAGGTTTAACACGTTCAATGCCACGGTCGACGCGTAGTCGACAAATGTTATGTATATCTTTATGGGTGTATTATTTGATCGGTTATAGACGCACTGTTTCAATATTTGTATGTGGTTATTCAGTAGGATGTCGTGATTTCAATGGTATATTTGGATTTTGCGTAGCTATTTTTAGCGAGTTTTAATTAATTTTTCCCGAATGACGACGACGGCGACGGCGATGCCGATTACGCGGTTGTGCTATTTCCGATAATATATTAATATCATATTATTTTCGTTGTGACTATAATATTCTGACGAAATAGTATTAAGGTACGTTTTCCCTGTAGCGTCCAGACGCAGCGTCCAAACGCAGAAAATCGAGCCGCCTAGACGCAGCGTCAAGACGCAACGTACGCCCGTTTTCTCTGCATGCGTCTAGACGCAGTAATTTTTGTATTTTTGATCAAATTACATTCACCGAAATTCAATCATAGTGCTTACGACCGTGATCTAATACACACGTAGGTTTCATCACCTTCATCATGATGCAACGACAATTAATTTTGAATAATAACCTTATGATTTGCGAGATTCTCAGACAAGATGCAGCATTTGAAGATGAATTACTTTTAAGGATGATTCCCAAACCGAGAAATGCATCCAACAGCATAATAGCTACGAGAGAAACCGAAGGATTTTTTAAAAAACTGATTGAAGGACATCTTTTTAATAACGAAGTTAAATTTCGAGAATTTTTCCGTGTAAATAGGGAACAATTTAATTTCATTTTGTCATTGGACAAAGATGATCTTACAAAAGAACCAACTATGCGAGTACCTGTACCTATATCTCCCGACGAAAAATTGGCAATAACTTTAAGGTAAGCATATTAAGAAACATTATTTAAAAATTCATATTTAAATTTTCATTAGTTTCAAATTCGTTTTTCGTGATACCTATGATATCATTGCATTCAAATTTAACACAAAAAGACCTACTTTATGACCGAGGTTTATTAATTTTGTAAATAAGAATAAAATCGTTAAGATATGAATTTTATTATTATCATCTTATTATTAAGAAGGAAAACTCTGACTTTTTTAAAAGCTGAACTTTGTCTAAAGTATGTTATTTTCAAATTCATTCCGTGACCTTAACCTAATATATTTATTTTAAACTTATGTTCCAGATTTTTGGCTACAGGTGAATCTTTTCGGTCTTTGTCGTTTTCTTTCCGAATTTCTTACAGCTATATTAGCGTAATAGTGAAAGAAACGTTGGCAGCATTAAAAAAAATGTTAATGCCATTATTTTTGCCAAATCCCAATACTATCGACTATAAAGTTAAAGCTAATGAATTTTACACGAAATGGAACTTTCCAAACTGCATTCTTGCGATTGACGGAAAACACGTAAGAATCCGATGCCCTAATAATTCAGGCTCTTTGTATTTTAATTACAAAGATTATTTTTCTATTGTATTAATGGCAATGGTTGACGCGAACTACAAATTTATTGCGATCGATGTTGGCTCGTTTGGAAGAGAAGGGGATAGCGGAATATTTTTAAAATCTAATATGGGACAGCAAATTTTAAATTGTAAGTTCAAATTTCCACAGGATTGTGCACTTCCCAATACAAATTTAGTAGTACCTCATGTAATACTTGGCGATCAAGCATTCAGATTACATAAACACATATTACGACCATTTTCACAAAAATCAGCTAGAGGGGATAGTGGAAAAACTATATTTAATTATCGTCTCAGTCGTGCTAGACGAGTGACAGAAAATGCATTTGGTCTGTTGAGCCAAATATTTAGAGTGTTCTACCAACCAATAAATATCAACCCGAATACATGCGATGACTTAATAATTGTAACATGTTGTTTACACAACATGTTACGAGATGCCTACTTGGAAAAAAATGGAAAAATTTATTATCAATTTGACTCACAACAACCTAATCCTGACGGAAACATGACGCCCTTGGAACACGAAAGGGGCTTTTTGAGTACAGAAGGACTTGCTGTAAGAGACATTTTCAAAGATTACTTCGTAAATGAAGGAGCAGTACAGTGGCAAACATGAATAGTACTCACTACTCGTACAAACTAAAATATTTTTCAGTTTTAGCACATTTATTTTATTTTTTAAATATTATTTTTGATTAATATTATGTTTATAATTGAATGCTTTCAATGTATACTTTTAATCAAAATTAATATAGTGTTCTGATATCCATAAAATATACCTATACGTTATTTATATTATGTTTAGCTACATCCTGTGGGGTTCTTAACAATGAATAATAATTTGTAATATGAATATAAAAATGAAATTATATTTAGTTTAAATTAGCAATACGGACGGAAGGAGTCAACAAAATCAATATGTTCTATTTCTATATGAATCTATGTGTACATTTAGGTATACGTTTTTGGTTTTTCTGTGATCAATTATAATAATCTTTAAATATCTTAAATTGATATTGTCGACAATTTAGATTTTACCGTTATCGCTGGAAATAATTGGTTTTATATTTGGAACAAATACTCTAAAATATATATTATAAATAATCTTTTGGTTTATTGAAAATGAAAGTATGAACATATTTTAAAATACACTTGGGTATCAACTAGTTATAGTTTGAAAATTATTAATTATTAAAATTCATAACAAAATTAACAAAATAAAAGTAATTTCCAATAAATCGTAAAAATAAAAATAAAAATAGTCAACTTCTAAAATGATTAAAAAAATATTATTAATTAATATTAATGATATCGAAAGAAAAAATTAGTTAATTGTCATCTTCATAATTGTGCGTCTTGTATAGTTCAAATCCATGCGATGATGACGAAGTGGATGGCGAAGGACTTGGTTGTGCCACGTGACTCTGTTGAGATGGAAATTGATAATCGAAATATTGGGGCTGATATACTTGAGGTTGTGGACCAACTTGTGGTTGAAAGTTAGAATATTTATCTTCCAAGTGGCTGACAAGAATTAAGATTTGCAGCTTTGCTTCGTTTATGGCACGCGGTGGTAGTTTTTTTACCGTCGTCGAAATACTTTTAAAAAACAGATCTACACTATCCTCATGCTGATTACCAATACTTGAGACTAAAATCTCATTTTGTGCCTGGATTTTAGATAGTAAATTATCCGTTTCTTTTGATCTTTTTGATAATATTGCACTTATTTTATCCTCTTTGGACCTAATCCGTTTTCCCGCGTACGATGATATTGATGGTAAATCTGAACATGTATTTGGAGATTCGAATGTATCCTCGTCGTTTAGCGTATGATTTTGTGTGTCATCTCCGTCTTCAGCAGTTGACAAAGAAATATCATTTTCTTGATTTTTGACGTTTGATGTAGTCCTTTAATTTTTAAACTTTAATTTCAGTACATTATTAATAATTAAAAAAAATATTTTCAATACTTTCTTTCGTATTCAACTGAATCCATAAACGATAAGTATGACAGTGTCCTATTCACTTTTTCAGAAGTTGCTGACCCAGTCGACAGTTTTTTTTTCTGTTTCATATATGTATCTCTTATGTTCCTCCACCTTTTTTTGCAGTCTTCATCTATAAAAAATTAAACTATTTAGGTATACTACTATTAACTAATAAATAATTAATTATTAAACTATTTAAGTATTTAAACTTCTATAATTTAAAAGTTTATAAATAATTATAATAATAACAATTATATAATCATAATTTGTATTTAAAATAAAGTAGTATTTAGTAATTACATTCAAAAATATACATTCAATATGATTTTAGTGATCTAATTAATACATAATCAGACAATTATATTGAGTACGTACCTGTTCTACCGACTTTTTCAGAAATAATTTTCCAAATTTTTTCTTTAAAATGAATATCTTTATGCTTAGGGTGAGCACTGTCAAAAATTTCCCTATTTTGTTGGACATATTCAATTAAAATTTCGTCCTCAGTTGAGGAAAAAACAAATTTTTTCGACATTATCAAGCTTTTGACGCAAGAGGTCCGTACACGACACTAGTCCAGACTAATACTGCGTCCGGACGCACTGCGACATTTACCGACGCGCTGCGTTAAACGCAAGTAGGAAAACAGTCACAACTAAAATGCATGTATCTAGGAACAATGCGTCTGACGCTGCGTTTGGACGCTGCGTCTGGACGCTGCAGGGAAAACGTACCTTTAGTTTATTTTAATAATCTACAGGGTGTATCTTGCTCGGATGTATAATAACAATAAATGTATATTTATGTTCGCATACTATGGTACACCCTACATTCATATTTTTACATACCGTTTATTATATATTTAATTTGATTCCCATTTGTCTACGACAAAATTATTATGATTTGGTAATACAGATTATTTGTAAAACACATCAATATTCCGAGAAAGTTTGAACAGAGTGCTAGTAATTTGTTTCTTGGTTTCGTAGAAATAAATACAATTATTTTCATGACGTAAACGACATTTTATTACTCGATTTCTTTGATAAGTTTTTTGAGATAATTAGTTGATAAATTCTTCCCTTTTTTTCATACAAAATGGACAGTAATCCGGGTACATTAAAATCACCTCCAATAAAAAAAAAAACGACTGACCGATCAGGAAATTTTTAATTTAATTGAAAACTCTTTGTCCAGTGATGAGGACTTCGATCTTAGTTCTGGCACAGATTTGGGTGAAGGTGACTCTGCCGATGATGATGTCGATTTTGAAGAACCTGCAGACAATGCTGTGGGTGAAATGGTTTTTGGTGAAATTGATGACAATAATGTGACTGATACAGATGATGCTATTATTGATGAGGTAAGTCCGTTACGTTTAGATGAGGAAAATAGTGAAACTGGTACATTTCACCGCCACTAATGTCTCCACCCACAACTCGGAATAGGATAATAAAACAACCAACAACACGTGTTTCGGCTCCAAATTATAATTGGTTGGACCATTCGACTAATTTGGACACTATTGATTTTCATGAAAATGTTGGGTTAAAAATAAGACCGGATGGAGACCAACCAATTGATTTTTTAAATTTATTACTGACCAATGGTTTTTTCGAATTCGTTGTTAGAGAAATAAACAACTATGCAACAGATTTATACATGAATAGATCCAGCGATAAATCCCGTATAACAAAATGGGTAGACACAAATGTAAACGAACTGAAAGTTTTTT